AGTGACAAATCCTCTGGAAAAGGATTCCTTTCTCTCTGAGTTTCAATGATCAGGGTGTGAAATGTCAAAACATTTGCATGTTCTTACCTCAGCTTCTGTTTAGTAATTATCCTCCAGCCAAAGCTTTGCTTTAATATCTCTTACCTCTGGCATTATTAGATTGCTATAACTGTGTGTGGCGAATTTGCAAGAATGAATTCAATTTTGCATTTTACCTCCAGTCACACATAAAAAATAAAGTCCTACCCTACGATGTGGGGGTCGGTGAAGTATCCAATAATTATACCGCCTTTTCTCTTGACTCATATTGTGAGATTCTACTTTTAATAATTACGGAGAAGATATTTTATGTGATTGTATTGTGTCGACACTTAAAGCCCGTTACATATTTAGCTGCAGTGAGGCCAACACTCCCTTCCTCACCACAGCAGGCACACATCACTGTGTCATCAAGCCACCGCGTTCTCCTTTAAAGCGAGGCAGCGAAGCCGTTCCACGGTTTCGGCCCACTGGACGGCTTTGGAAGATTTGAAGGAGAGCACAAATGTTGGGCCTCTCAGCTGTAAACAGCAGCGCCTGTGGCTGTTCGTGCTGCATCAAAGTCATTGAGCAACAGATGAATCGTTAAATGACAAAGTTTCCTCATTTTATTTCTTACAATGTAAGGAATCACATTGACAGATTTCTTTCATTTGCTACAGCAACATTTCGTCAATGTTTGTAAAAGAATTTGAAAATATTGAAGACTTACGGTTGTAATTGTGCTTCTTCTTCTGTTGTGATCTTTGTGATTAAATGTGCAGTTAAAACTTCTGTTCATTGACAGACGTTTGTGCTTTATGTGGCCTACAGTGTAAATGAGTTTGAGCACTGGATAATACCTCACAAACATCTAAACCACGAATGTCAGAGGTTCATGTCACCTTGAATTACAGTTTTCATTGACAGCTGCTGAGTTTTTAAAATCTGTGGGTTCCCTGTGTTGCAGGTGCACGTTCAGGTTCCCCAGCACAAACATCAAGATCGCATTTACGGCCCTGTCCAGCGGGAAGAAAGTGAAGCGAGAGGCGCCCGAGTCCCCCGTGAAGCCGGTGCAGCCCCAGATCTCCCCGCTGACCATCAACATTCCAGAAAACATCGCTCACCTAATGAGCCCTCTGCCATCGCCTACTGGCACCATTAGGTATTCATTACTGGAAATGATGTGTTTAGCAGTAGATGTGGGATTTTTTTTTTTCTTTTTAAATGGCTTAAATATGCAAATTCTAATGTGCCTCACAGGTGAATGCTGGGTATTTAACCCTTTAAGACCTACCATAGAACCAAGTCCGCCAGAGCTTATATTATATTTTTACATG